ATCGATAAATTACGGTCAAACCCACAGCAGTGTATAAAAGTCACGATCTGGAACCGGAGGATGAGTACCATATTGTCCTTCAAGACGAAACAGCTCAGAAGCGGCTTCTTGTGTTAATTAGTTCGGCTGCGCGTCAGCAGGTGCACAGCGGATAGTAGTCTACGGAGATAGCATTGCCGGTAAAGAAGGCGAGGGGGGGGGGGCGGTAGCCGAGTCTGCAAGCCTAAACGTCTAGCATACACTCCATGGGGACTTGACGCTGTTCTTTACTCCACTCTTGTCCAGCTTAAACACTCACCCCTCCCCCCTCGTCTTTTTACCTTCAGCTTAAATTGGCACTGCGTTTACGTCAGCTGATAAACAGGCAGTCATACGGTCAAGAACTCTTGCGGTGCTCCTGCGACTCACAAGAAGCCCATCGAGAGAAGGTCGGAAGGCCCGTGGATGAAATAAATGCTAGGATTATTGCTCGGTTGAAGGAGGTGAATTTTGGTGAGTTGCTGTGGCCTGTGCCATAGGCACTCTTTCCACCTTTCTAGCCTTACTGCGTCCTGCGCGTTTGTATTTATGACTATTCCGGAGACCCGGTAATTTTAACCACTTACAACACCTGAAGTGCAATGTACGCAGGCAGGAATGAGTCAGCGAGCGATTGCTTAAGTGCGGAAGTTGTGCTGCCGTTAGTCATGGAACCTAATTGAACACGTAACGTAGTCGGAATGGAAGTAATTTGCAGCATTAAATTGGTTTTTGTGGTTTAGATAGATCAAATGTTCTTTTCGAAAAACGCTGACAAATTATGGCTTTTAATATCCGTTTTTTTTATAAGAAACTGTCATTTCAGTATTTCTTGTGGTGATTTTGCGTAGCCTCCTATCTTTTAGAACAGCACCGTAATTGCCAAGCCGAGTCTGGGCTCCTTTTGTATTTACTCAGCTAAGATGCGCCTGAAGACCATAATTATTTACTTGTTACGGCTGTGATCATGCCTGATCTAGCCGGCCTCGATGATATCACGGACGGTACCTCTCCATGCTTGACGATTGACAGCAGCGGATCTGGAGAGCACTACCCAGTCTCTTCTCCAGCGCCGGAGACCGAATAACGAAGGTCCAAGAACCAATTTCATGCCCTGACGGAATGAGTCGAACCAGGCTTTGAGTTGACTCCCTCTTCGATGTTTCCAGTTAGGTTACGGTTTCAAGTCGAGGGCAGTAACACTAAGCTTCTGACGTTGAGGACGAAGAACGTGTCCGAGACACCTGATTCCTCTTTCCTGAATGGCCTGGTATATACTTGTGATTTTGTGGCGGCGAGTGCGGATTGTTTTATTTGAGACGAAGTCGGTGTACTTCACTCGAAGGATGGCTGAAGACCATATTCATATATGTTCAGTTGGCCTATGGTTTTAGCCTAAATACACCCTTCTCAGCTGCCGAAGTGCCTTTTTTACTTTACACGGATGTTCATATATGCGCGTAGAAAGTCAGTTATGTTCTGAGGCTTCCGAACTTCTGGCTTGGTTGGCTGTTATTGTAGCGAACCTGTCTTGTCCTTGTTCTGTCTAGGTGACGCTGATGGGTCATATACCCGACCCGTTTTTTAACGCCATTTTTCATATTTTTTATTTTATTTTAGCCATGTGCTGTTCTATTTTTTACACTTTTCTTGTTCCACCTTATTACCACTTCTGTGTAATTTATGCCCACGTTTTCGGTTTATTTGGTGAAGGTCATAGGCAAGGCCTTTGAAAAATCTGTTGTTCATATACGCTTGTACACGCAGGCATGCGTAAATATTATCACATTAAAAATAGTATTCACAAACTGGGAGTAGCATTGTTTTCACAAATAACACGGCGCACAACTATATCTCACAGCGTATTTTGCAACGCATCATACTGTTACACCCTCTTTCTTTTTATTCTCTCTTGTAGTTTCGGAGACTGGCGCCGATCTGGGAGAACTTATTCCCTGGTGAGGTTTTATTAGGGATCATTTATTTCCTAACACATCAAAAACTAGCCTTATCACTAAATATCAGCGGTAGGCTCCTTCTTCTCCGCTTCCCTGTTTCTGACTTTACCTCCCTCCTCACCGAAGCTTACAAGTGGCTTCTTCATGTGCCATCGATGGCATTGGAATTTAAAACATCAGTCGTCAGCTGGCTAGAGAACCTCTTCCAGTGGTGCATAGGCGCCCATCAATCGGTTACGGGACTCACACGTCCCGTTCTGTCTCCGGATCCACTCTTGAACCCCGCCAGCGGTCGCACTGTGGCTAGTAGTATAGACAAGAGAACATTGCTGACAAAGACCAGGGTAACCGGAATGACCATTTCTGATTTAGTAACCATTATTATTATTATCATCAGTCATCCACGCCATACTCCAAGTGGTGTTCCACCCGAGGCTCTTCCAGTGGTTGTGGGCACCCGAGAAAAGCGTGCTTTATTCGTGATGGACTACTGCCCCCTCCCGTCTACACGGACTGTGTATCTGTTTATTACCTCTGACTGATGGTTTTTTGTTTCCATTACGTCCCCTTTTAGTGAGGGCAAGTGGCCTGTTGTTATTAGACAGACCTGCCGATACGTATTCTTGGAGCAAATGTTTTCCCTCGTCAATGACATCTACAGCATCTTCTCCGCCTGGATGAGTGAGAATAAAGACGGCTGTCCAAAGTTCTCCTACTATGGTCCCAGGGTATGATTCTACACTGACGGCTGTCCCCCGCTTCCCCTTTCCCGCTTATTTTTGTAACTAGCACAGTTTCTTAATGTCTCCTGGTTGACCTGGATAGTACTCAGTACAAGCGAAAATGCGAGTCCCAGGAAGTAATTAAGAAGAAGAAAATTCGATCGCTGACTCGAAACGTCAGGCGAATAAAACTATTGTCCCAGCGATCAAGTCGTCTTCTTCTCAATTTCTTCCTGGGACTCGTATGTTCGCCTGTACTGGCTACTTATTTTGACGCGATGCACTTCGATCGGCCCGACGATGGGAAACGTTTACCTTTCGTGGGGCCTCAACCTATTTGCAGATTCGGTTTCTGCACAGGTGCTTGGACAATAACGTATTGCCGAAGAGTGTTCGTTACAAATCTTCGTTGAGTTCGGAGGCGGCGAGATTCGTAATGTTCCAAACTGGCAAGAGAATGGTCCGTTTTTTCATTTATGTCCAAGCGATCGAGTCGTCTTCTTCTGGATAATAATGTTGATAGCAGCGGATCGGCGAGCTCCAAGAAGCAGTTCAGAAGAAGGCGAAGATGCGATTGCTGGAACAATAGCCACGCGGGTGAGAACGCAGGTGGCGTGATGTCAAGCCACATTTACGAGTCATCCTTACGTCAAGAATTGAGGATGATGAGGAATTTTCGAAAATTAGCGACCCGGGGCGCGGAGCAACGAGTAATTATGGCATCGTATACGGCTGCCGGTGATGAACGTGGGATCTGCTAATTGGATTAAGCACGCGGCCGCCCTAGCAACCGTTTCCTATAAATACTGCATCCCTGGTGCCCTCATCACCCTTATCTGCGACTATAGCTGATGATGGATGCGAGCGAGAATCCGAAACGTCCGCTAAACTCCATATTCCAAACATAGCTTCTTTCTTTGTACTGAATCGTAGTGTCGGATGCATTTGCTGCTCCAATGTAAAATAATGTAGCTGGCCTATCGCATGAAACGTCTACCAAAACGTTAAACTTCATTTTTCATTAGAAATTACTATTCAGATGAGGTTGTGATACTCATTATCGTGTAGCATGATCACAAAGTATTTCAGTCGGGTCAGAATGCCGGCCTTTGAATCGGCTTTTTTTCATTTCAGTTCAGTTTTATTGAGGAAAAGACAGGCGACCGTCCTTGAGTTCCTTGTTGGTAACACAGTAGCTAAGAAATACATTGATATAGCAGAAGAATTCAAAAAGTGGTCGTTTGCGTATTTGCAGATGAAAAGCGAATGACCGTTAGTTAGTCGAAAAAAGAGTTAACATACACAATTAGTTATTGATGGCGAGCAGTAGAGGTGAATTTGTGATTATTATTTCGGGGATAGTACCTCGACTTATTGGCGACGCCAAGCGATAGGGGCCAGTAGGCGGATCAAAGGCAAAAAGAGCAGACCGTGAAAAAAACTCCTTGGGCATTTTTCGGGACCTATAGAAACTCGAATGCGATTGGAGGAATTTTAAAGAGCAAAAATATGTCGCTCATAAGAGGAAAATGTACAGGTAATCACCGAAGTGCTGGAGATGCGACCGTGATACGTCCTTTCTGATTGCCGAGTCTGCCGGCAAGGTGACAAAAACAGGGGAGCCCGCCGTGATCGTCAACAGTCCCTTGCGGCACAGGCGACACAGGGGAGAACGTTAAAAGACCGTGTAGACTACGGTGCCCCAAGGTGTGGTAGAGGCGATGGCTGGCACGATGGTCGCCATTCGTCCTGTCGAGGCCACCCTCAGAAACAGCATGGTACAAAACGAATACTTGAGTAGTATGCGTTCTCCAACTCGATTGTCGACTTCCTGACATATTCAAGTATATTTTATGGGTAATATGAATCAAAACATTCTTATCTGTAGTCGTTTAGTAGCAAATCCAGTCTTGAAGTTAATACTTGAAAAAAGGGTACTTTAGGTCTTTTAAACCTGTTCAATGCCTTTTTTATATCTTGATGTTTGCATCATAACGGCATCGTGGAAGTTTTCCCCCATCTCACTTACACCGATCCGTTGGAGGCTCATCCTAAGCCCTCAAGCTTTCAGTCTCCTTGCCCCCCCCTCATCTCTCTTCAGGCTACCTTTATTTGCTCTCAACTGCCCCCTCCCTCCCCTATCACACTCCTATTCTTTTTTCCTGCTGGTTTGACGACCTTATTTTAGTTCTTTCTCTATGTCTTTTTTTCTAACGCGCCTCCCCCCATACACGCACCTTCTGAAGGTCGATGAGCCCAAGGAAAGTGACACCAAGGCCGGCGCTCTCGAAGAAGGCGCTGCAACGCCCGGCTCCGACCAGAACATGGCCCCGACGAAAGACGACCAGTCCGGTTCTCCTCCTCAACCGGAGCAAATCCAAGAGTCCAAGGAGGCTCAAGGAGACAGCAAAGATCCGGCTGTCTGCAGGGATAATCCTCTGTCTAACAGCACTTCCGAACCCATCCAGGAGATCCCTTCTGGACAACGAGGTATGTCGACAAAGGGAGTCTGTACCGGAGCCTAAGGCCTAGATAGGACCTTGAGGGCCCTGGTAGCGGTCGATACAACGGAGACGCTGTGACATGTAACACCCTCCTTAATCGGCAGAATGCACAAAATTTGAAAATTACCAACTGACGACATCATTCTGTCTTCCTTTGGACGAATATTCATATTGGGTTAGCTTCCCACTTTGGTATGGGAGACGGCAAAGTCTGCTTCCTGTATTTCGCGGAAGCAGTCACAGTATGGCGAGCACACAGACGTGCGTTCGGCAAATATTCGGCCATTTTGATCTCATATAACTGTCTGATTACTGTAGACGTAGGGGGAGAGTTTATCCCACACTCCATAGGTCTCATTGGCACGCTTTACGCCCGTTACCATCCCGGCATTTTCACAGTAGTGGTCTTCGCCTCTTTGGTCTCAAGCCCTCCTCACTTTCGTTTACTTCTCTCACGATTCCCCTTCGATGTGACGATAGTGACTCTTTGAATCCTATTCGAGAAATATTTTGCTGTTAGATTGCTTTTTACTACAAATTATTGGTCGTGTGCGGTCTCCGTAGAAGATGCAGAATCACTTTCATACTCTTCAGAGGACGGTTTCACCCGACTGACTGTTTCAGCAAACTTCGTTATTATCCTCGACCACCGCCTAGATACTTACTGAGACCTTACAAAAATCATTGGATTCAGTGCCAGTTGGGTCCCTTACGGAACAAGGTGCTATTACTAAGGGGTACTTTTTCATTGGAGCTCCTTGCTACCTTTGCGGGCAGTTGAGAGTTATTTGCTATTGGCAGGAGTCAACTCACGATCCACATGCTTCTACTAGTAGACCCTTTGTTTGCCTAGTGTCCGCTGAAGGACTGAATTTATCACGGAGCTGTTGCAAAGCCTTTTGTGACGTACGCATATTAGGGCTAAAAGGATGTGCACCCATTGTTAGAACCCTGCATCAGGGGGTGATGTTTCTTTCGCTGTTGGTATTGCACTTAAAATAAAGCCATTTTATGCGTTTTAAGCCCCTCTCCCCCTGCGGCTTCAATTTAAGATGATTCCTTTACCCTCTCTCTCTCTCCCCTGTAGGTTTGTTCGTTACGGAAGATGAGGTTCTGCCGTCACACGCCTTCTATTCTGCGCCACGGTGTCGACCTAAAAAAGCCTTCCTGACCGCCTGGCAGAGGGATGTACGTTTTGTTTTAGTAGGCCATTCTATTCCATATGACGTACGATTTTTCACCGTAGTAGTTGAACTGGCCTGCTAGGGTTTATCTTCGGCTGAAGCAAGCAGAAGTCCACCCTGATCGTCGCTGGTTAAGAAGCTACTAAGTGGTGGTTGTTATTGTCAAAGCCTCCTATCTTTACTTGAGAAGTTCTTACTCTAAGCTGTATGTTTCGCCTGCTTCATGTTTCACCATGACAGCTTGCACGGCACGGCTGACAACTGCGACTTTGCAGTCTATTGTCGAATTGGCCGACACTCGTGTTATTGTATTTATTGTGCAAGGATCTACAGCCCAGGTGTCTGAAGCACAAGTCCAGGAACGGAATTGGGGCAGCATTTGGTAGTGGGGAACATCATTCAGGAACCCGGATTTCGCTGACACGATTTTAAATGTTCCACTCACTGTTATCACTGTTCGGAGGCATCGGTGGATGAAGCTGTTGGTATCCTCCCGACATCTTCCGAA